CTTTCATTTTTTGCCCTTATATTCCACATTTCTTTGCGCTAAACGTCATTTTCATCCATTTTTTACAATTTTACCCTTCTATACAAATAAAAAAAAAAAGTAGAGAACAAATTGCGACCATGATCCCAAATTTTCAAAAATTTTGGAACACTATCTTCACAAAGTATAAAGGAAAAGTATAGGCACACTCTCTTCTTTCTGTTTACACCTTTTTAGAGAATCTTCATGTACAAAACCCTTCACTTCAATGTTGAGATAAGTAACAAGAAAAATTTCTATCAAAGAAACTTCCCAAAAGAATGGTGTCACTGAAAGCAGGGAGCAATCCACCATGGGTAGGTTTAGATGTTGCAGTTTGGGTAGAAATAACAGTAGAGTGCCTATTCTCTCATTCACTGAAATCAGTTCTCGGCTTCAACCAGCAACAATTGACCATTCTCGGAGTGACAAATGATATTGGAGAGTCCCTACCTTATTGGATTATAAGCTCTTAACCATTTTTCAACTAAACAAACTGTTCAGTCCCTGTTTTATTAGGTTGTAAGTTCTGCATTTTTCCCTCTATTAAGAATTGAGATTCTATCTGTAGTAAAACAATTTTATTGGGGTGTAGTATGTTCGAAGTCGAGTGTTTCGTGGCCGCAAGAAGCACCGAAGGTGGTGATGAAGCCAGTGAGAAAATGGCCGCGTGGTTGCAATGTAATTTTTTGAAAATGTGTAACTCATTTTTAATTTTTTTCCAAAATTGGGACCAGATTGCAATTAGATCTCTATTTTTAGTTTTCTTTTCTTTTTGTTTTATTTGTATAGAAGGGTAAAGTTGTTAAAAATGGATGAAAATGACGTTTAGTGCAAAGAAAGATGGGAGATGGGGCAAAAATGCCCAAAATTAAAAGGTATGGACGTTTTCCACGATCAATTTGAAAGGTAGGGACATTTTGTGCCAATTCACTTTAATATCACAAACTTTTTATTCCATAAACGCCAATTCTATGAATACAATTAAGTTCAAACACTATGCATAACATCAAAATCATCAAATGACTTACATATGCTTTTGAATCAGTTCTCACCTTCACCTCGCACAAATACAAGTGTGCATGAACAAACATATAATATTAGGGATTTAGACATATTTCCCTTTTGGAAAGAAATTTAATATGCTATACTTTTTCTTAAAAACCCTATCTAGAACTTTGGATTCTAATCTTATAAAACATTATATTTCTAAAAACCCACAAAATTCCAGCTATTCCATGCAGTGTTCAATGTGATTTGTTCCCCCATGAAACCATCGACTGTGTCCAAGTATTCTTTGTGGTAGACCCACATCATATAATTCCAAGAGTTAAGTGTGTGATTCAAGAAATGGATATTTGGTTTCTTGGAGATGGAGTTTTGCTGCAAATTATATGAGAGAGATTATTGATAGAGGGAGACAAGAGGCATGCAGTTGAAGAAGGAAATAAGTGAATAATAACCTAATTTGACTCTTCATTCATTTCCAATCTCCATACTTTTGTCTTAATTGTAATGGACATACGCATACGCTAACTAATATCTTCTTTGGTACATGTGGCTCCTAATTTTAGTCACACGATTCATACCTAATTGTTCACATTTGTGTCGGTTTAGAGTATCATCAATTCATGAAATGATCACTCTCCCATTTTGAACTTCACCATCAAGTATATCATAGTACTACTTAATGAATTTTTTGTTCAATTAAGAGCTGGACAAGTATTTGATTTTACTATCTTAAATTACGTCATCAAGGAAGGGAGTGTTTACAAAAGAAAATTTATTTGTTGATCGCATTATTGGTGATTTATGCTCCTTATTTTATCGATATGATATGAACCATTACAGTAGACGAGAATCTTTGTTCCCAATAATAAAAGAGTGATTTCATTATTATTATTTTTTTAACTTGTTTCAATTTCCACTTTCATGTCCGAGTATAACAAAAATGATGGGGTGATTTTGACAAAAGTTAATAATAAATTCAAGGTTAAAGAGTTCAACCATTAATTTGATTTCGTGACATCCTCGCACTTCTCTCACATATGAACAAATGGGTCCTAACACTTAGAAAATGAAAAATATTGTCCATGTTCTATGTATATTTCATCAATTTGTAGAAAACTCGTTAGGTGTGAATATATAGATAATTGTAGGTAGATCATGTTTTTGTTATGCAATTTAATCATTTTCTTTGCACTAATGAGCAAAGATTTGGGGCATAGTGTTACCCTGCGTTCCATTCGTATTGTGATTATTATACAACTAATTAAGTAAAATATTTTTGTTGGATTCATAATTATCATTTCAGTCCTTAGTAGCTACTTTAAGGTAAGACCAACATCAACTTAAGTATGAAGCTTGTCCATATATGAGAAAATAAATAATATTGCACAATTATTTTAAGATATAAAACAAACATTTGTTTCGGTTCAACTAATATTAGTAATTTTTATGCTCTTCTTAACTTTTACTCTCTACTCTATCAAATAATTTACAAGCAAATCTGATTTAAGCTTAAATAATAATTATTTATATCAATATTATAATATTTATTATAAAAACCAATAGCTATATCTAATAACTTACAAGTTAAATGAAAACAAGCAAGAATTTGCAATAATTTTTGGACTGCGTCTCCTTTCTCATTTATTTTTATTTTTATTTTTTACCACTTCGCTAATACAATGCGATGTGGAAGTGTCAAGAAAAATGATGAATGAGCATTTTGCAAAAATCCAAGATCGGATCAATTATTAAAGAAAAAATTCAACAATTTAATGAATTTTAATTAAGATCAAGACAAGCACAAATTATTGGCAGCTTCTATAAAATTAATTCACCTATTTTTAATTAAAATTGCAATCTAAGCCCTTGAATTATAACAAAATACCGAACTAGGTCCCACTCTAATAAAACATTGTAACTATATAAATAAATTGTTATGATGGAAATATGTCTTGCACTGCATTAACATGTCACAACTAGTAATCTTGTCGGTCATCTTTATCATTCTTTATTGCTACTATTATTATTATTTTTCTTGAAAGGGAAATTAGAACCAAATTCCTCAACCTTTTGGCTGGTTTAGAAATGGTCTCCAATCTTGAGAAGTGATTTTTTTTTTCTTTTTTCTTTTTCACTCTCAAACCTATATAAGGTTTTGAGATTGGATTCCCACATGATCAAAACGACAACGCGCGTGGATGTGAAAATAACGCGTGGCTTTGTAAATTAAAGTAGAAAGACAAAACCAACAAACTCTTAATGATTTCTCTAATTTTAATCTACCGTCATGTGGGGATTCAATTCACAATGTTAAAAAAATTGGGAAGTCAAAATCTCAATTTAAAAGTCGATGAGTCGAATCTTATTTTTCTAAAAAGGTAGGGAATTGAAAACATGGATACACCCAGGAAAATTGTACATAATGTGGTTAGTAATTGACAAATAATTGAAGTTAGGTATTTTATGCTAAAATTGCCGGTTGGGTTGAAACAATTAATAGGTGCAAATATCAACATCCGAAGCAGCCCAACACAGCGTGACACTCTCAATTTTCGCAAGAGCAAGACAATGACCTGCCCAAATTCTTGTGCCTGTCCATGTTATCTAAAAATTTGGCACCTATTTGAATTGGATAAAAATTACTGAAATAAATAGTTGAAAATTTGATAAAAGTTATAGATCTCATGAATGTATAATTGAAAATAAATTTTAAGAAATGAGGATTAAATAGAGTCTCGATAAGAGTGTCGCGCACATTTAAATAACTTTGATACATGATTAAATAAACTAAGTATGAATGTAGAAACACAAAATTTAAATATTAGTTGATACCATTTTTTTGTTATTAAATCGGCTAAACAACTTTATTTGAAACTTAAGCAGATAGATAAGACATTTCTATATATTAAATATTATTTTCAAAGCACCCTTCATGTGTTGACTAGTTCATTATTTTCTCGAATAATAGTAAAATGTGTATAGATTTATTTAAAAGAATTGTTGCGAGAACTCACACATTTGCAAGATATGATGATATAATAACCATTTAATTTAAAAACTTAAACGGTTAGATAATATCAGTAAATGTTGTCTTCATTCCTACAATATGTTTCTTAGAATAATTATACAAGAAATCGACATTTATTTTTAAAAGGTGTAAAGTCACTTTTTGCATTTTATGTATTGCTTTTCCTCATTTTTCATTCAAAAATATAAAAGTAAGTACTAGTAAAACTACATGTCACCTATAAAGATTTTAGGGAAAACTGCATAATGGTCCCTAATCTTTTTGCAAAAGTACAAATTGATCCTTTTTTTTTTTTTTACATCATCATCCGCCTTTGAGAAAATTATCAGAAGGATCTTAAATATTAGATGTCCAAACATTTGTTAGTTGTGGCATGTGGTAGTGCACATCTCTACCTTTTTCGGAAGCAAAAGAGTACGTATATTATCATTAAAATAATAATTATAAAATAGTAAGTACAAAAAAAAAAAAAAGGAAAAGAAAAGGATGATGATGAAGAAGAAGAAAATAATTGATGAAAACGAAAAATTTTCAATCTTCCCTAGTGCCCACCCCATCTCCACGCCACCCAATCCAACATTCGCACAACCATATAACAAATTGCCGCTACCACATCCACTCTGATAATATCGTTACCACCTTCCAACAACTAGTCCCCATCACCATTTTCACATTAACAAACAGATGTAACACTTACTAAATAAAGGTTATCATATGTAAGTATTAATTGCAACACATAAAAAATACAAATTTCTTGAAATAAATAATATTCACCATTCATTGATTGCTGCATTGCCGATTTCTAATCCATCTAATTGACAAAATTTGATGCATTAGTCGATGACACACAATTAAACTACAGTGACTTGATTGACTCTAAAATGAAAATATAATAACCACAATGAATTTTACTCTGTGCTTATGAATCTCTTGGTAATTGATCATGGGGAAAGACAATACCACCTGTGGTAGGGATAGTGAACAATAGAGAAGCTAATGGACATGGAGGCATTTTTCATGGTTTCATAAACTGATTTCCATGATTTGAGAATATCCAGTAAAAAGAATTTTTCATGGTTTCGCTACAGCGCTAGGGGGCAAGGAGAGATTTTTGGATGTAGGGAAGTGGGCGAAGCAGAAGCTAGTGGTGTCGCCTGCCATGAGCAACAATGTAATTGCATTGGCAATGGTGATATTTCATTGGGGTGGCGATGAGAGCTGGGAAAGATATTTTTCTTTTGAGTTATTTTTTAATGATCTCAATTGTTTTAAATGATACAAGGTGGAAACACATTTTTACCATTCTAAAAAGTGGGCAACTACAATTCACATATTAAACTAAGAAGGGTACTGTTTGGCTAGGCTTAAAAGCTAGGGCCAAATCCAAGGACACCACTATTGGAGGGGTCGCCCCTCCAATGGGGGCGCCACTTGGCACCCCTGGATTTGAAGAGAAATTTTGGTGGGACGATCGCACTACGTGGATAGTATATCCGTCCCATCGAAAATTTAGTCCATAGGCCCTGGCTTTAAGCTCGAGCATTTAGTTTTATTCTTAAACTAAGCGACTTTTGGACGGTTATTGTCCAGATATCATTTCACTGCATATTTTTCCAATGATTTGGGATAATATTGTAAAAAAAAGGGGTAGGGATCCATTTGCACTTTTTTGAAGGTTAAGAACCTAGCTGCAATTTTCCCATTTATTTTGAAAATGAAAAAGATACGAGGTGTTGAACTCATCATCTATTGGCCCCATTTTTGACAAAAATTCGCGATAGGCCAACAAAAATGTCGAAAAATGAAAATAATATAAAATAATTTAAAAGCAAAAATAGTCAATTATTTAAAAATAATCAAATTATTATATTACTCATGAGAAAAAAACTGCCCCCTTCTTTTTCTCCCTTAT